TACAAAATCATCAATATTCGGGCTGGCACGATGCACGCATTGAGTAGTAGGCTCGCACTGACTGCACGGTTACTATTCCAATATGGCGTCGAGCTCGGTTGCTACTCCAACATGGCGTCGGAGTCGGGCGCTCTCGTTCGGGCTGACTAATTACGAACAGTGTCTACACCTGAGTGAGTGGGTGAGTGACACATTTGCATATCGAAGTCCCCGCAACAAACACGTTTCTACGCTTCGCGTATCCACGAGTTTAAAAATTGCTTGTTTGTGTGAAAGTTATTTGCGGTAATATTTACAAATAGCGCAAATTTTGAAATTCTACCGTCATAGAAGTATATGTCACAGTTTGGCCATTGGTTTTATCAGCTTTTCTAGACCCTGTTATTTGGATGCATGTCCCTGAAGCCCCAGAACGAGTTTCCTTGACTGGAATTCCAACATGCATGCCAGCAGAGTTAACTGCCACTCTGCTGGCATGTTTTTAAATACTTTTATTGCTATCTAAGGCTTTTTTCTCCATTTAAAAGACATTTTTTGAAGATGGGATTTGTGTCTTTTTTTAAAGACGCAATGTTTTTGACAATTAAAAAGTAATCACCTGTCCCTAATTTAACTTATTCGCCAATATTTATAATTTCTCCAAAGCTTCGTGACAATATGTAAATAATATACGAGAGAAAATCCAAAAAGATCTTTCTAAGAAAGATTACACAGCTAATCAAAAAAATGTGATATTCTTATATCATCTGCAACTTTTTGTGCTGAAAGTTTTTTTGTGCGCCAAGAACGCTCCTGAGTAAATTCAACTCATTTAGTTCAACTCATCAAAAAAGTTAGTTCTGAGCTAAATGATCCAAGTTACATACACTGATTTATCTGGAACACAATTGTCAGGACAAAATGAAAAACATTTTAGGAGTATTTTACATCTAAAATTGTTCTCACCTGAGATTTGCGAAAATATAGTATAATGATTGAGCTCAAGTAATCGCCTGTATTCTTGAAGAGGTTTTGGATTTAGTCCGCAGAAATGAAGGTGAAACTGACCGACATTCGGCACATAGCACAAGATGAATGATAATCTTGCGTGTAGTCAGTGAAAGATAACATTTGCCACTGATTTATTTCATATGGAAATTAGAGCAAATGGGTTGATAATTCCACGTAGTCCATTGTTTGCAATTGAAGGGTCGCTGCATCTTTCAAGTAATGGAAACCTCTTACAGCGTCAACCGTAGTTGTCACTTTCAACTAAGTGTGTAAATGGAGGTAGCAGACACTTTGTATGTAAAATTTCTCTTGACATATTTAGAAGACTGCTTGTTTTTGTAAATGGTTTTGCAGATAAATTTACAGAATACACAAATTTCGAGATTCTACTGTAATAGATGTTTATGTCATATATGTTATGTTTTTGGCCATTAGTAATATTTTACTTAATTTTTAAATTTGCAACAAATTTTAAAATTACTTTACACTTGTCAACTCTTGATTTATCTTCATTATTATTTTTAGTAAATTGCACCAATAACGTTTAAAGTTCTGGTAACCAAACAGCTGCAACAACAAATTAGTTTATTTTCAATGAATTCGGCCCCTTTACCTGTCGAGTTTTTTTTGGCTTTTAAAATACAAAGTATAATTTCTGCGAATGATTTTAAAGTTAAAACTCTAGGAGGAAATTGCTTTCCTTTGGCATTTCACGGCTGCAGCAGGTTTCTAGTGGTTCTGTGCGACGTTTGCTCAGTGACACTTTCGCTTCGATAAATGAAGATCCCATACGCGGGTTTTTCAGAGAGGGTTGGAGCAAAATACCGCACTGAGTGGTACAGTTTGTATATGAGTTAACCCCTAGTTTACTGGCATCTTTATGATTAATCAAGATGCAATTTAGAAGACAGTTTTGGAAGATGCAAATTGAAAAAAAAAACCGCAATGATCTGGACAGCTAAATATGGTTATGGCCTGTACTTCTGGAACACATGCACCAATTGTTCGCTCATTTCGAACAGAAATTTGTGGCGCTGTATAAATAAAAGACGCGAGACAACTGGACAGTGATAAGTTTGATTACTCTTTCAGTTTTGTGTAAGATTACTTATAAACATGAGCTAAAAGCCAATCTGATTCCATGTGTTTCGAGAGAGTCTTTTTGCGGACCATATCTTACATTTTCAATCAGCAGTTAATCAGTCTTCTCTAATCAATGCCAAATTGACACCGCTTATTGAAACTAGATTCCAGTTTAGTGGGTTATATTTCTAGAGGAATCGATATTTCTATCAGTAACTTCAATGATTTCAAACAATACCAAAATGTGTCTCAAGTTATGTCTTGACGCAAAGTGATAATGGATAATCCAAAAAGAGATCTTCGATCATAAAGTTGAGAAAGGATATACTACTATGTGGCACAATGATGTAAGTTACTCGTTCCGTCTCATTATTTTGTCCTACGATGTGGCAATGTAATTACTGAGCTCACACTTTATCAAGTACTGATGTTGACGTACTTTGATCGTTTCACTGGGATCGTTTCACTGGGAACGTTTCTCATGCAGTTCGGGAATTGACCTTAATTCCTCGAAGAAATCAATTAGCTTGCCGTTGATGTTATGATTCACGAAAAAAATTAAAGCGTTTTAATGCAAGTAGATTACTGAAAAAATAATTATTAAATAACGGTAAGGAAAAAAGTCTTGCACAGGAAACTGGAGTAATATTTATCGTTTAAAACAGCTCTTATCTCAGATTTACGAAAGTAAAAGGGACGATAAAGGACTGCTAAAAAATGTTTGCTTTCTGTCGATTTAGCCATAAATAATGATGCCATTAGACTAAGAATTATATGCGACTGGAATCAGGGAAACTGAGTCAAATTCTGATTGGTCCAATACTTAGAGGTTTGCCGATTCCTTTGGAGCGAAGAGAACTGCTTTTAGCGCCAACGATGGTTACCGCTTTCAGTTTAGAGTATATATGGAGAGTAGGGGAACATTTCATGTAAAAATTCTTCACACCAATAGGAAAAAACTGTCTGTTTGCGAAAAAGTTCTTGGGCCCATATGTTTACGGGGTAGCGTAGATTTTGAAATTCTAATCTGACAGTTAACCTCTAATCGTACATTTTGTTCTGCAACGCCAATTTACTCTTTCAGTTCATTTATTTATTGCACCTGTCAATTCTTTAATTACCTTGATTTTGTAAATAGAACTATTAATATTTATGGCTCGGTTTGTCTTATGATTTAATTATTTCACCTTTGCTTAATTGTGCCAGTGGTGATCAGAGTCGCGTTGAATTTATATAAAAAAGTGGCTTTGAGCATCTCTAGGAGATTGTTTTAAAAAATCTCTAGCTAGAAGACTCTTGAAATTATTCTATGTGAATTGTAAGACTGAAGTATATGGAAAAGAGAAACTTTCGACTTTCTTGCAAAGTAAGAGTCATGTCTACATTGACCTACTCGGGTCATCGCATCTCGCACGGAACGTTTAATTTCTGACTCAACATTTTTCCTTTTCATTCCTTTTGCTTGCGCTTGTGCTTGCGTTTGCGTAGCAGCAAGTGAAAACGAAATACCGCTCAGGCATAACACAAGCACAAGGATATTTACCACACCTGGTTGTGTTTGGCCAGTGAAACACTGGATCTAGATTACCTCACGCCTAAACAGTTCGGACTGTTCGGATGATTTTGCTTGTGCTCGTTTTTGCGTCGAATTTCGTTTTCGCTTGGGTAATCCCTATTGCTTACGCTTGTGCTTGCGTCTCTAGTGAAAACCAGGTTTAATTTAATTTGTGACCTAAATTCAATTCTAGGCTAGCTGTCAGCACTATGGTTGATGACAAACCTCAAAGTGTACAAATGCAGACAGAGTATGGAAGCAATCAGGAAAATAATTGAAACGAAAATAACTTTAGAGCAATGGAATGATATTTATCGTTCAAGTTTACCCTTGCCTCAGATTTACTTGGAACAAAATTCTAATGACTTAAAGATCCTCCACTTTATGCGAAGAGGCCGTCGACTTAGGCGGCAGACATCACCATGGAAGCGACATTCAGCGGAAGATAAATGATGATCGTCAGTCGCTGAATCATTTAACATGAAAAATAGGTTAGTCGGAAATTCCTAAAAGGCTAATTGCAAGTGCAGGGTCGCTGT